TCATTTGATGTTCTAGGGTTTCAGGATTGTTGATTCTCTGTTTGGCTTAGTTTTTCGGATCTTTGTTGTGGAGGGACAGTGTGGTGTTTCTGCCTAGAGCGCCATCTTGCCAGAAGACCACATTATTTAACTTTTTGTATGTATTTAATCTCCTTAATGAAATCATCAGTAATTTTTAAGTTAGAGCAGCAGTCCAAAATACACATTCTGCTATGGCATTTGCCACCAATTTTCTATTCGGACTTGGATAGTTCATTACTTTTTATTTCATTTTTTTCAGATTACACATCTGTACCGTAGAGTTTGAACTAAGTCAGAATTTCTTAAACTGTTCTGTGGAACATCAGGAGATGTTAAGAGATGTTTCAGTAAAAATGAAAGAATGCTCCCAGATAAATTTTAATGTCAGGTAGCCAAAAGCAGCTACAGCTTACTTAAGTGTTCAACTTTTCAGAGCCTTTAATATGTTACTATACATGGCAAATTTTTAATAGAAAAATTTAGTTTGGAATAATTCTCAAACTTATTAACAGTCTTCCTCAAGCCTATTTTTAAATTTAATGTTTTGCAGATATTTGGGAAATACTCACTTTGGTGAATTTGTAATATCTCAAACTGTAATAATTGAAGTTTTTTTTCAGGGGAGATAGGTAATAAAGTTGTAAAAGGACCCTATAGTACAGAATAGAACTGACCTAAAGGGTTTCCAGGGAGTGGCTGATGGATTCGAACTGCTGATCTTTTGGTTAGCAGTCGAACTCTTAACCACTGTGCAACGAGGGTTCCATATAATTTGTTAGATGGCAAGAAGTGTTATAGAAAAAAAGAAACCAATCCGTTGCCGTCAAGTCGATTCCAATGCGTAGCAACCCTATAGGACAGAGTAGAACTGCTCTGTTGGGTTTCCAAGGAGCTGCTGGTGGATTCAGATCGTTCCAAAAATTGTTAGGGTGAAATACAAAGCAGGGAAGGAGAGTGTGTTGCAGTCTTAAATAGATGATGAGGAGGCCTCAAGGAGAAGGTGACACTGAGTAAATGTCTGGGAGGAAAGCACCCTGGGCAGAAGAAACAGCATGCACAGAGGCCCTGAGGCAGAGTGCATCTGTGTTTTTGAGAAATGTGTATAAGCAGAATGTTTGAAGGGAAGGGTAGTTGAAGAAGAGGCCAGAGAGACAAAGGGAGGCCAGACGTTGCAGGACTGGTTAAGTCATTGGAAAGATTTTACATCCTTTGTTACTCTCCTTGGTATTCCCTATGGAATACCTTCTATATAGTTATATAACTCTGAATTTTAACAATTGTAGGGCCTCCGGGAAAGAGATACTTTTAACCTAATTTAAGTAATTTTATATTTTACCTTGAACAAGTGATAATAAACCAAGAATACACCAGAGATGAAAGTTGGCTACCCATATTCATTCTGTTGCTATCGGGTTTGTAATTACAACTTAATTGTTTTTTGTTTTTTTTTTTTAACCGTAGGTAAATTAACATGATGGATTTCTCCAAGCTACCCAAAATACTTGATGAAGATAAAGAAAGCACATTTGGCTATGTGCATGGGGTCTCAGGACCTGGTAAGTAATACTTAATAATCTCAATAGTAAGAATTCCTAGCTTCAACTGATGATCTGTATGTCTTTTCTAGGCGTTTTAGGCAGAAATGAAGTTCTTGTTCTACAGCATAAATTTTATCAGTCTTTAAAAAGATCCCATAACTTCTGTAAGACTGTGCTAATACTGCCATCATAAGGGCTCATCTAGCAGTGGTTATCTACTTTGATGATTATTCAGATGCTACTTTGTGATATCCTGTTTATTTTTATCTTAAACCGTTATATAAATGTATAATTGGTATTCAGAGTTTTATCTATATGTGTCTCAATTTTTTTGTTAAATTTGAGGTGCAAAAGCTATAAAATTTGTATAAATTTTATAGCTTTTTCTACCCAATATCTTAAAGATTATAGGCATTCAGTAGTATCTCCTAATTTGGTTTGAACTTTGAAAATTGTCTTCAGAGCATTTCTCAGCAATATCTTTGGCTGTGGCTGTGATTTTCCTTTTCTAAATAATTACAGTCTCTTTAGTCTTTCCTCAGAGGTCATGTTCTGTCTCTTTGGTCTTGCACGTTGGCAAACTTTTTCTGTGAAAGACCAGATGGTAAATATTTTAGGCTTTGCGGACCACATGGTCTCTGTCTTGACTGGTGTTACAGTGTGAAATGTCTACTGCAGCCATAGACAGTAAGTGAATGGGTGGGGCTGTGTTCCAGTAAAACTATTTACAAGAAAACAAGAGGGACTGGATTTGGCTCCCGGGCTGTAGTTTGTCAAGCCCTGGTCTTGAAGCTCTTCTCCTGTTCTTCTCTCAGATTACTCTGTCTTCATTCAAGAGTACACCGTGGAGGTACAAAAGGACAGATTTAGCTGGAAGAGGCTCTGTGAAAATATTTCATTAGGAGATACATAGCAACGCTGCAAATCTGAGAAAGATGGCTCCAATGGCTTGGTCAAAGAAAACCTTTTGAGGTTATGATCTAAACTGCTGTCAATTTTACGTGTTACTGTTGTAATTAACTCAGACATAGAAAAATGACTTCAAATTCTGGAGAGGATAATAATAATAAAATTCTGGCCAGTAAATGAAAATGCTGCTATAGGTCATCGTGGGAAGAGAACTGAAACTTTCTAGAATTTCTTTCTAATCACTTGATCATACATGTATCAATGAAACATTGATACATTTAGGCATTGTCTTTTTAAAGTTTGAAGTTCTAGAAGTACATGATATTAGATAAAGAAGTCATAGATATTTTAAGTTCAGTTTAAAAGCAAAAAACAAAAAATATGTTTTTAAAGTAAGTTTTTATTAAACATGTTGATTCTAAACTGAAGCCAGATGAGTAACCTTTATAATCAGTAAGTAATACTTGACTTAAATGGAAAACTGCCAAAGTACTTTTTAAAATTAGTTTCTTATTAAAAGTTTTTCCTGCCATTTTATTTACATTGCTGATTTACAAATACTTTTTTAAAATCCATAGACTTTACAAAATAGAGTAAGTGGGATCCAAATGAACGGTTTTACTGTTCTGAACTAGGTTTAGCAAACTAGTGTAGACTGAAGTTTTAAATTTGAATGTCTTAAAGGGACCGTGACATTAGACTAAGGCTAGTTACCTAGTGATGCACCTTAAAGCAACCCGTTAATAAAGTGTGTTTTTAGAAAACTCCAAGGGGTAAAATGAAAGTGTTTATATTTCCCTTAATATTATTTTCAATAAAGCAGTCTAAATAATTTTTACAGGGCCTATATTTCTTCCCTAAAGCTCAGTCTCACTGATGGGAAATAAATAGTAAGAGTCAGAGAATAAGAAGTATTGTTTAGAGGGGAATAATTTATTCTCCTCAATCCAGAAGTTTCTCCATTTTATAAATAAACTTTTAAGTTTTTTAGTAAATAACAGTGAGCAAGTAATAATCAGTTTCAATGACAACCTAAAGCAGCTTTCTTTCATAAAACAGAAGAAGAGATAAATTATTTCCCTTATAAGAAGTACTGCTTTTCCTAGCATTTCTCTCCAAGCTCTTACCACTTAAATCATAGCATTCTAGCTTGAACTCATTGACAGATAATAAGAAGGTTCTACATTTCACTGCTTTTAGTCTCTTTTGCCATGGCTACATGACTGTAAATTCCAAAAATATTATCTGAGAAGATAAAGAAAAAACATCAGAGAAACAATTTTCCTTTTAATGATGTTTAGACGGACTGTACACAAGGAGTTTTAGGGAAAAACCAGAAGAACACTATCAAGAGAATTTATGTAAAAATATTCTTCTGAAACTTGTAGCAAACTACTCTTTGGAACCTAACTATAATTCTTAACTGCTTACTAATAGGGAAATTGCATCCCTTTTGGTTCATGAAATAGGATTTTAAAATTTAGTTATCTCTGGTTTTAGTACATCTTAATCATTCTTCTATAGTAGATCCAAATATTTATGGAATGAGTAAGTCTTCATGGTTCTAACATAAGTTATTTAAGTATTAATAGTTCCCATTTGAATATTAGCTATTATATGGTTCTAATCAATTGTATCAGAAGATTAAATGTTAAAACCACGTATCTGAAAATGTAACTACCTTTCCTCTCGTCCAGAAAAGTGATTTTACTTACTAGACAACATGGACCAAAATAATTAAGTTCAAATTCTGGTTCAGTGTTTATAGGAAATAGAGGTTCTTAATCTGAAGTTCACCCAGTGGTTGAGACTGATTATAAACACTCTCATGGTCTATAAGAAAAATTTCGTAGATGCACGCGTGTGTTTTTCTAGACACAGCTATCATTAGATTAACTTCACCACTGAGCTAAAAGGGAGTCTGGGGGCCACACTCTCGGGGTTTCTCCAGTCTCCTTCAGGCCAGTACATCTGGTCTTTTTTTTGTGAGTTAGAATTATGCTCTACATGCTTCTCCAGCTCTGTCCAGAACCCTCTGTTGTGATCCTGCTCAGAGCAGTCAGTGGTGGTAGCCGGGCACCATCTAGTTGTACTGGACTCAGTCCGGTGGAGGCCTTGGTAGCTGTAGTCCATTAGTCCTTCGGACTAACCTTTTCCTTGTATCCTGTTCTCTTCATTCTCCCTTGCTCCCGAAAACTGCACACTTTTGAAGACAATTTTCATATATATTATTTAAATAAATCATTTCTAGCCTAAGAATTGTATTTTTGTGTGTGTGTACTTCTTTATGGTGTTGTTGAATGCCATCAAGTTGATTCTGACTTACAGTGACCCCATGTGACAGAGTAGAGCTCTGCCCCATAGGGTTCCCTAGGCTGTAATCTTTACAGGAGCAGATTGCCAGGTCTTTTCTTCTGCGGAGCCACTGGTGGGTTCTAACCTTTTGATTAGCAGCCAAGCACTTAACCGTCACGTTACCAGGGCTTTATAAAACCCAAAAAACCAAACCCAAGGCTGTAAATCTCTACGGAAGCAGACTGCCACATCGGAGCCACTGGTGGTTTCAAACCGCTGACCTTCCAGTTAGCAGTCAATTGCTTTAACCACTGCACCACCAGGGCTCTTGTAGGACTTTATAGCCTAAACTAAAAATGCATCTTTATGTAAAGCTATCTGGGTGTTCCGTTATGGGTGTTTTATTTTTTTTTGTGAATATGACAGCCATGTTATTGGATTTATTATATATTTTAATTATCTGTTACTATTTACAGAGTATTCGGGTCTTACATCATCAAAATGCTCTTGTTCTTTTTAGTGGTTACAGCCTGTGACATGGCAGGTGCAGCCATGTATGAACTGGTGAGAGTGGGCCACAGCGAGTTGGTTGGAGAGATCATTCGACTGGAAGGTGACATGGCTACTATCCAGGTGTATGAAGAAACTTGTATCCTTTTTGATTCAATTCCCTACCACTTTCTACAGGTCAAAATTTAAGGATTTAATTCAAAAGTAGAAGCAGAATCAACCAATGATATTACAAGCATGTAATGCTGGTGTTGGAAAGAAGTCTGATTTTTGCAGGAGTATATTCAAGAAAGGGAGAAAGGTACTAGAAGTGAATGCTCTCGTTTTTAAAAATTAGTATTATCTTCTGAACTTCCGTTGCTGTTAATGTTTTAGTAGTTCACAAACATCAAGAAAACCAATTGGAACTTTTCTTCAGAGGGATGCATACTGTAGAGAAAGCATAAACAGCATAGCAACATTGATTGGTTTGGTTAAAAGTCTCCAATCGTGATTCTGTATAAAGTAGTAAGTCCATAAATAAATTGGTCATCATTCTCTATCCTTATTCTGGTGAATAGTGCTGGATGGTATGTTACATTACAGCTTTAGTACTTGAGAATCTTTACATTTTGTTATCATACTTTTGGCTTTTAAACATAGTGTATGTTTTAAATTTTCTATGAAAAATAAAGAGATAAAGTGCTAAGCCTTGTGAAGGGGAAGCACTTTTAGTTTTTTTACTTTTATTTGGGAAGCACTTTTAGTTTTTTTACTTTTATTTGCTCATTTACGTCTTTTGCTTAAGTTGGCTCTCAAGGTCAGCATTAATTCTTTGGCTATTTAATCAAGATTTATTTGGTACAATTTTTTTTTTTTTTTTGCCATATTAAAACACATGCTGGCAGATAAGTGACCATGAGTACTGGTGTGCTAATTCAAAACAAAATTATTTGCAATAAAATTAAAAGTCTTTGAAGTCATGGCTGATCAAACACATTTTTTTCTATTTTAACCTTACCTTTTTATTTAGTCTTTTACATGATTTGAAAATTAAAAATGAAAATATCTGCAGTGACCACCCTCCCACTCACTTTGCCATCTCGTGTCTGGCCATTTTTTAAACATGCGCACGTATACAACCACTTTTATTGGTACCTTGTATATCCTTCTAGTTTCTTAATTGCATATGAAAGTAAATACAAATGTATATTTTTATTCTTCCTCCTTTTTCCCCAAAAGAGCATATTGTACACACGGTTCCACATCTTGCTTTTTCTCGTTAAAAATACATGTATTGTGGAAGATAATAGATAGTAAAATGTTAATGGTAGAATCTAGCTGCTAGATATAGGGGCATTAACTGTAAAATTCTTTAAACTTTGCTGTAGGTTTGAAAAAATTTATGATCAAATATTGGAAATGAAGATACATATCTTGGAGGTCTTTCCAGAGCAATCAAAGAAGCTTCCTTTTTTTTTTTTTTTTTTACAGTTATATAGAATTCCATCATAGGGCTTGAGCAGAATTTATCAATCCCTTAATGGTAGAAATATTGGTTGTTTCTAGTCTTTTACTGTTACAAGCAACGTTGTGGTGCAACTGTAGTATGCGCTCACAAAAGTCTGATTCCTGTGTCGAAGGTTTGGGTATCGTTAATTTTGACAGATACTGTTAAATTGCTCTCAATAGTAGTTGTGCTGAGTTTACTGCCATCAACAAATATGTGAGAGCAAGGCAGATGCTACGTACTTATCTGCAGGTTTTATTCCTTTCTTTTCCAAAACTACTTCTTAATTCTTAAGATTTTAAGTTTTTGCCTAGCTACTAATATAGGCAACTGATATCCCTGAATATAAATGAAACAATATATTAACTTAATGAGGGGCTTTTGCTTCCATTTGATTTTAGCCCTGTGATTCCTAAACTGTGTGCCAAGGTACTCTGGGGCAGCAACGGTAAACCCACGTAGTACCCGTGATATTTTAAATTTTTGAGGTTGATACGAAAATATTAGACATTTTGTCAGCTACCACGTGAACTAGTAGCATGAGCTAATAAACAATTCCATTGTTTGCTATAATGTAGACTGCGCTGCGTTCTTGTCAGGGACACCGCCATAGCTTTGCAAAGCTGAGTTGCTAGTGATCGTGAAGCTAAAAAGTAGGTACCATGTGAAAATCAGTGTGAAACAGGTATCCTTTCTGATTCCAAGGTTTGAAAGTTGTACGGGGCCTAGCAGGTACATACATTCCACTCATAACAAGTGTGGTTATTTAAGAATGGAATTAAAATATTATCTTTCCTTTCAGTTTAAGTGTATTAATTTTTCGTTAGACATAAATTCTCATTATCTTATCTGGACCTAACTTCAGTAAGTGGAACTATTAGATTTATCTTTTGGCCTAGGGCATTGTGAAAAAATTAGTGACACACTAAGGATTCTGTGAACTGAAAAAGTTTGGGAACTTCTGTTTCAACCCCTCACGTGTGTGTCTTTTCTTCATTAAACAGCGTATCTCCTTTTTATAGTCTCTCTAAACTTTTATAGTGAGTTTTCCTTAACCTCTTCTCTTTAGCTGGTGTGTCTGTTGGAGATCCTGTACTCCGCACTGGTAAACCCCTCTCTGTAGAGCTTGGTCCTGGCATCATGGGAGCCATCTTTGATGGGATTCAGAGACCTTTGTCAGATATCAGCAGTCAGACCCAAAGCATCTACATACCCAGAGGAGTCAATGTGTCTGCTCTCAGCAGAGACATCAAATGGGATTTTACACCTTGGAAAAACCTGCGGGTATGTCTGTGCAACCAAGAATTCCTAAAGTTGGTAAAAGAATGAGAAATGAACTATGCAGAAGTATAGCTTAAACTTTTCTTAAATCGACTAGTAGAATTATAGAACTAATATGATTTGTTAATAAGTGAGGCAAATAATTTAACTTGTAGCAGCAGAAGTGTGTCTACTTGACTTTATTTGGATGTTAAACAGCAAATGCATTTGTTCTCTAGGTTGGTAGTCATATCACTGGTGGGGATATTTATGGAATTGTCAATGAGAACTCACTCATCAAACACAAAATCATGTTACCCCCACGAAACAGAGGAACAGTAACTTACATCGCTCCACCTGGGAACTACGATACCTCTGTGAGTATCATTTAAACTGTATTGAACCGAGTGGCCCTGCTTAATATTTGACGTTTGCCCGGTTTTAGTGCCCTAAGTAGTTGCTGAACTGATGTTTAATGTATAGGTTTTAAGTAACTTCTGTAATTATTTTTAATCAAGGTTTTTTGTTTGTTTTTAACTTGGGATTGGGAATTAAAAAAATGGAACATATCCTTTCCTTTTTAGGAGAGAGAGCTATTTAACATTTTTCTACCTTCTTAACTTATGCTACGTTTAAGAGTTGATTGTTCAGACATAGAATAGACTCTGATTTTAATGATTGATATTCACGTAACTGAGTGTCTAGCAGACTGTGTGAATTCTTAGCTTAGGTGAACCATTTAAAACTTATAATATTATTTATACACATTATATCAAATACCGTAGAGTCATAATAGTCATTATTGATATAAAGGTACTTTATTGAGAAGACCATTGTAGCATATAATTTTCCTTCAATACAATATGATAAAAGGTAGTAGCTATTGAATCATTTCACAAGAATAAGTCTGTGCTGTATAACATAAAGAGAACGGAAGAGTTAAGTTATGTTTGGAATTCTGTGCAATCAGCTAGATTCACTCACTAGTTTAGAGACTTACTCCTGTATGGGGGAACCACCCTGAAATAGACAATTCAAATTCGCATATCAGCAGATTAGAGATGGGGCACAGTTCTACTCTGACACACACAGGGTCACCATGAGTCAGAATTGACTTGACGGCAACTGGTTTGGAGTCCCTGGGTGGTGCAGATGGTTAATGCACTCAGCTCCTAACTGGAAGGTTAGAGGCTCAAGTCTACCCAGAGGCACGTTGGAAGAAAGGCCTGGAAGAAAATCAGCCATCGAAAACCCTGTGGAGCACAGTTCTACTCTGACACGTGAGGTCACCATGGGTTGGAATCAACTCGACAGTAACTGGCTTTTGGATGGACTTTTAAATCAATACAATAGTAATAAATGCACCTATTAAAAAAATTAGGACTGTATATGAAGGTTTACGAAAGTAAAAGTCTCCTTCCCCACATCCATATACCAGCTCCCAAGAGGAATCTTTTTTGTTGATGTTGTTGTTGTAGTTTAAATGAAGTTTACATTTCAAGTCAGTCTCCCATACAAAAATTTATACATACATTATTAGGTGACTCTAATTGCTCTCCCCTTACTGTGACAGCACACTCCTCCTTTCCACCCCTGATTTCCCATGTCCATTCAACCCGCTCCTAACCCTCTCTGCCTTCCCATCTCACCTCCAAACAGAAGCTACCCGTTTAGTCCTAACAGGAATCTTTAACACTCTGGGATTATCTTGATTTTAGCATATAAAATGTTAGCTAATTTGTACCTAAAGTCTTGCTGCATTTCTATAGGATGTTGTCTTGGAGCTGGAATTTGAAGGTGTCAAGGAGAAGTTTAGCATGGTCCAAGTGTGGCCTGTTCGGCAAGTTCGACCTGTCACTGAGAAGCTGCCAGCCAATCATCCTTTGTTGACTGGCCAGAGAGTCCTTGATGCCCTTTTCCCGTAAGTTCAGGCTGTGTCCCAGGGTTTTCCCTCAGAGTTACTATGTGTGCTATCCTTTCATTTTTTTTATAGATAAAGGTTGTATGCGTTTAATCTTAAACAATAAAATTTATCTAGAGAAATCAGAGTGAACTAAATACATTTATCAAACCATCGGAGAAAATTTATTTTTTCACAGTTGCAAAAGGAAAGTCTTTTTTTATAAAGCTTTCTGAAAAACGAAAATTTTCAGAAGAAAATCTGTACCAAAAAATATACCTTCTTTCTTATGTTCTCCTAGAATTAGTAGATCGGTCTCACTGTAAGTTGATGATTTCCATATGAATTGACCCTTTGTACTGCCACATAATCTTTATTAATTCCGAATCTGCTCTTTTCTTTATCAGTTATTTAAAAATATTCTCCTTTCTCTCTAAATCTCAGGCTCTACATATCCTGCTTTACTTTCAACATACGCCTGTATTCTTTAATACACAGCAAAGACTGAGGCCATGAGACAGGCAGGCACTCCCTCAGTCTGACCACCAAACCTGTGCAAGTCCAGCTCTTCACACAGCTTCTTCCCCTCCAGGCTTGCTCCTGAGTTTTCTTCCTGTCACTCTCACATTAAGATCCCTAATCCTTTGGCTCTCCATTCTTCTCATCATTAGCACCTCCTATTTCCACAGCCTTCTCTATCCGGCTTAGACTCTGTAGTCTGTCACTACCAATATTTGTCAATATATTAAATCTTCTTGTTCTTTTGTCTTTTGCCACATGTACCTGGCAACTGTCAGTCAAGCTACAGTCACACTGCTGAGAAAATCAAGTAATCAGTACAATTTGTTTTCTAACCATGTAGCCGTCTTTCTGCTTTTTGCTAATTAGCTTTCTGTCCTGTTCTCTTTAGCAGTTGTTGCAAATCTTCTCCACTCGCTTCAGATCTCCACCCCTGGTTCCCCCCTCATAGTCAACAGATGATCTGCTAGATCCTTCAGAGAGAAATGTGAGGCCACCATATTCGGAACCCCTTCCTGCCACCAGACTCAGTCCCTTCTTCCTTTCCTCTTTCTGGAGCATATCCCACCTCATGTCTCCTTAAGGACCCCCCTTGATCAATTATCTCCCCTCTATCTCTCTTGTCTAAAGGAAAAAAAAAAAGTAACCTCTACCCTTCTTCCCTTGCCACCTACCGCTACCTTTCTCCTCACCTTCACAGCCAAACCTCTTGAAAGAGTATGTTAGTTGTCTCGCTTCTCCCACTCTCAGTCACTCTGCTCTGCCCTTGGTTTCACCACTCACATGAAACTGCTCTCATTAACACCATTGTTCACTTCCATGCTGATAAATTCAGTACATTTTAGTCTTAATACTACAGCTGTGGATACTGTTTTCCACTCTTTCCTTCTCAAAACACCTTTTTTTGTTCTCCCTGTTAGCTTTCTGTCCACAAGTTCTTAGTCTTTGTTGCAGTCTCCTTCTGCCTCAAATTTTGGTATTTCTTAAGGTTTTTCCTTCTTCTAGAGCATCGTCTCTCCTCATTCTGTATGGTATCCTCTCTGTGGATGATGTCATCAAATCTCAGACTTAAATATTCATCATCTGTGTATGATGATTCCTAGAACTGTATCTGCATCTCACATCTCTCCTGATCTCCAGATTCACATATCCACTTCCATTTATACCTCTGCTTTTGAATGTCCCTCAGGTCCCTTAAAGTCAGTACGTCCTAAAACTACAATCGTACTCTTAATCCCTACTCCCTTCCTTCTTTAAAACCTGCTCGTCTGCCTTTTCTCAACAAGTGTCATTAACATCCATCCAGTGGATGCCTAATCCACACTCCATGATTTTTCTCAAGGATCGCTCTTTACCCTCCCACGTCTAATTCTTCAACATTGTTCTGTTCCCTAAATATTTTTCATCTACACCTGTCATCCTTACACCATGACCCTAATTAAAGCTCTCTCACTAACTCCCACAGTAACCACATTTAATGAGACTGCCTGTCTTTAGTCTTGGCCTCTTTCTAAATGGTTGTCCACCTCACAGGCTGATGCAGTTAAAACACGTCTGATCCTGTACAGTTTGCTTGAAATCCTGAAGTGCCCTTCATTGCTGCTAAAACAGATAGACACTCTGACTCCTCACAAAGCTACCCACAATCTGGCAATTGCTTAGCTCCCAGTATTGTCTCAGCCACTCGTCCGCTCAGTTCCTTCCTTATACTCCATCTTCTAGGCAGACTGAAGGACTGTAGGTCCCCAGTGACTGCACTCACTTGCCCCCAGACCTGTGGGCATGCTGTTCTCTCTACTTGAAATGTTATTTCCCTGCTTCTACCCTTTATATGGCTGCATCTCTTTCCTTTCAGGTCTTAGCTTCTTTCCGGAAGCATTTCCTAACCCCACTCTTGTCCATTGTCAGACTTTGCAGCCCCTTACCTGTGTTGGCTCCCACACACCCCGGATGTTCTCTGTGATAGCACTTTCACGTTGGACTGTTGAGCTTGCAGACTGGGCTGTGCCTGACTCCACCCCGCCCCTGCCCAGGGTTAAAAGTGACTTGACAGAGGCATACAGAGCTATCAGATAGATGTGACATAGCTTGTCTATCAAACTCACTCAGATTTGGAGGACAAAAGCTTTTAATGCGTATTATATTGAAGAAAAATATTATACCATGATTAAGAATTCAATGTTCCTGTGAATTTTTATGATAAAGCACACTTTTACAGAGAAGTTTCCCTTGGCATTATTTCCTGTTTCTCCCACCCAGATCCCTCCTCCACAGACACATATTCAGTATGTAAGCACACAGCACACACACATTCACTTTCCTCTGCCCTTAGGGTATTTCACGCCCACGTCCCCTTTGTAGGGAAGGTTGGACAGTGACTGCTGGATTGTGCTGTGAGCTCCAGGAGCCCAGGAAACACAGATGCCGTATGACTGGTGTACCTTCTGCACCTCTGAGCACCGTGTTTAGTGCCTAGCAAGTACCCAGTAAATAGCTGCTGAATGGATAAAAGGGGACTCCTGAACACCTTAACAGAACTCCTCTTTGTTCATTAACCTTCAGAGCACAATATGAATTTGTTAGATCTTCTACTTATTTTTTGCCTCAGGAGACAGTTTTCAAAAATCATTTATATTTTTCTTTCTCTTGTAGCTTTAATTTCTGCATTGTCCTTTCATGATTATATAAGAGTTCATAATATCATTCGAACTATTTTATGTATCTTATAAGTTGGTCTTCTTTCATATCCCTCCTCTTTAGGTACCTTATGGAATATACTTTTACTTTTCAGCTATCAAAGATGATAGAGACGATTAGCTGTAACAAAAGCATACGTGATTACATGTACAAATGAGGGCAGCAGTTATTGTATCTATGTCTATGTATCTTTTTATGTGGGTGTATAAATATATACAAATATATGTATTTACATCAATCTATATATAAAAGAAAGCACTTTTATGTATATCTAAGAATTATATATGTAATTCAAAGTGCTTTCTTTCTTTACCTTGTATTTCTATATCAGTTACTTTATTTATTAGCAGGCAAAGTAATCCAGACTCTGTTCTCTTTGTTTAGATGTGTGCAGGGAGGAACTACTGCTATCCCTGGGGCTTTTGGCTGTGGAAAGACGGTGATATCACAGTCTCTATCCAAGTATTCCAACAGTGATGTAATCATCTATGTAGGATGTGGTGAAAGAGGAAATGAGATGTCTGAAGTCCTTCGGGACTTCCCAGAGGTCAGTATATATAAAGTTTCAAATGATAACCTGGAGAAAATACTGCTAATCAACTTCCATTGGCAATTAATAAAACTTTGTGTTGAATCTGGAGCAATGCTCTCATTTGTCAAGGATCTTTTAAAGAATTTTCTAGGTATATTTGTGATTAAATTTATATATTCAAGGAAAGGAATTTAATTTTTCAAAGTCAGACATTTTGAAAGTTTCTTTTTGTGGTCAGTGGTTTTCAGTTATTGGGAGAAAGATAAAATAGACAAAACATTTCTAGATGTGAACTTTACATAAGCTTTATATGATCTACTAGGTTACTGTAATAATACTTTTTGTATAAAATAATGAATTTTATTTATGAAATGGAAGTAGTACCTACCTTCTTCATAGCACCGTGGGGCAGGTAGAAGAGGTTGGAGTTATGGGGAATATTACTTTAGGAACTGATTCTAAAAGAGATTTAAACATGGACAAATTCTAAAAATGGACTAAAATGTTACATTTAGAAATCAGAGGATCATTAAAATGATTGTTTGTCTCTAGCTCACAATGGAAGTTGACGGTAAGACCGAGTCGATTATGAAGAGGACAGCTTTGGTAGCAAATACCTCCAACATGCCTGTTGCTGCTCGAGAAGCCTCTATTTACACTGGTGAGTATGTAAAAGCAATTAACATTTGTTCTCACATTTAAAGCTAACACCAAACTTTTTCTTTTCTAAAGGACTTTTCTTTTTTTTTTAACTTTTATTTTATTTTTTTTTAATTGTGCTTTAGGTGAAGGTTTACAGAGCAAATTGGTTTCTCACTGAATAATTAATACGCATATTGTTTTATGGCATTGGTTGCCAGCCGTGTGACACGTCAACACTCTCCCCTTCTCGACCTTGGCTTCCCCATTTCCATTTATCCAGCTTTCCTGCCCCCTCCTTCCTTCTTGTCCTTGCCCCTGGGCTAGTGTGCCCATTTAGTCTCATATATGTGGTTGAGCTGTGTGTATTATTGTTTATGGGCCTGTCTGATCTTTAGTTGAAGGGTCAACCTCAAGAGTGACTTTAGTACTGAGTTAAAAGGGTGTCCGGGTGCCATACTCTTGGGATTTCTCTGGTCTCTGTCAGACCAGTAAGTCTGGTCTTTTTCTTGAGAGTTCTGTCTACATTTTTCTCCAGCTCTGTCCAAGACTCTCTACTGTGATCCCCGTCAGAGCAGTCGGTGGTGGTAGCCAAGCACCATCTAGTTGTGCTGGACTGAGTCTGGTAGAGGCCGTGGTACTTGTGGCCTATTAGTCTTTTGGACTAATCTTTCCCTGGTGTCTTTGGTTTTCTTCATTCTCCCTTGCTCCAGACAGGGTGGGACCAGTGGGGTATCTTAGATGGCCACTCACAAGCTTTTAAGACCCCAGACACTACTCACCAAAGTAGGATGTAGAACATTTTCTTTATAAACTGTTATGCTAATTTCCAAAGAACTTTTCTTTCACTCTAAAATATCTCCAAACATATGATCACATTTTGCCTTTTTATAATTAAAATAAAAACAGTAATAGCGAATTCATGCTGTGAAACATGAATCAGAAGATTCCAAAGAGGTTTATAGAGAAAAGCCTTCCTCCCATGTCCATCAGTTGCCAGTTCCCTTTTCTGAAGCCTGCTGCTGTCCTCCCAGAGATAGTCTATGTATATATACACATTACATTGACTTTATAAAAGCACAAATAGTAGCACAGACCCAACTGAAATTACAAGATTCATAACCGATTACTGTGAAAAATAGTACTCTGACATATTTGAAAGCCTAGAGGAAATGGACAAATTTCTAGAAACTCACTACCTACCTAAATTAACACAAACAGAGGTAGAACAACTAAATAAACCGATAACAAAACAAGAGATTGAAAAGGTTACTAAAAAATTCCCAACAAAAAGGAAGCCCTGGCCCGGATGGCTTTACTGGAGAATTCTACCAAACTTTCAGAAAAGAGATAACACCACTTCTACTAAAGGTATTTCAGAGCATAGAAAAGGGTGGAATACTCCCAGACTCATTCTGTGAAGCCAGCATAACCCTGATACCAAAACCAGGTAAAGACACCACAAAAAAAGACCGATATCCCTCACGAACATTGACGCAAAAATCCTCAAGAAAATTCTAGCCAATAGAATTCAACAACATATCCAAAAAATAATTCACCACGGCCAAGTGGGATTTATACCAGGTATGCAGGGATGGTTCAACATTAGCAAACAATCAAGGTAATCCATCACATAAATAAAACAACAGACAAGAACCACATGATCTTTTCAATTGATGCAGAAAAGGCATTCGACAAAGTCCAACACCCATTCGTGATAAAAACTCTCAATAAAATAGGAATAGAAAGGAAATTCCTCAATATAATTAAGGGCATTTATACAAAACCAACAGCCAGCATCATCCTAAATGGAGAGACTTT